TCTCTATATATATCTCTTCCAGTCTGTCCTGTTATAGGACAAAGCAGCTTTATTCATTAACCAATAAAAGCCACACATATACAGAAGTACATCTCACATTACTAGGAGATAGGCATGGGCTAATAGGCATTAAAAATGTTATCCAGGACTGGAGAGGTGGCTCAGTGTGATTAAGAGCACTGGCTGCTCTTCCAGAGGACCTGGGTTCATTTCCCAGCAACCACATGGTGGCTCACGACCATCTATAGTTGGATCTGATCCCACTCCTGGAATAAAGCTGTACGTGCAGATAGAATGAGATCATACATATACATATGATGAAGATACATATGAGAAGAGGGCATATATAATATATTAATAAGTATATTACTAATGAATAATATCTATTAAATATATAAGAAATCTTTTAAAAAGGACATCTATATTTCATGTTGCTAAGAGCACCTTCACTTGTCAAAGAAAACAAAAGAAGTAAGGGACTCTAAAGCAAAGATACCATTAAATACGATTCCAATAACCATTTAGAAAGACTATTTGGAAGACAGATCTGGACATGACCTGTGCTAGAATTCAACCTTGCACACTTCCAGTTCTGACCAGCTCTTAGCTGTATGTTTGGTTTTATGGTATAGTGTGTGTTGGGGGGTGGGGGCAGGACGAGGTGTCTGCTTTTATTTAGATATAGTGAAAAAATTTTAAGTTCCAGATTCTGTCTTTTAAAATCTCCCCAGCACGTCTCAGAAAGCCCGAAGGTCACATTTACAGACTAGATGCTGAGCGGGATTGGAGAGAAGCAGGCCTGCTTGAGCTTGCAGGCTCCCCCGATCCCGCCCCCCCTTGTTGTATCAGGCACCCTGTTGATCTTCAGATGGTTATCGCAGTCTAACGCTCCGTCCTGGATTATGGAAACTAAATCCCTACCTGACACACTCGTAAACAGCTTTGTAGGTTGCTTGTCGCGTCCTCATTTCACCACCAGAGACATTTGAAATTCATAAAGATCCCCCAGCGCATCGTTAGAACCCTCCTCTAAACAAGCACTACTACGGAGCCCTTCAAACCAACGGGGGCGGGGGAGGGGGCTGTCCAGAGAGGAAAAGAGCGGCGCTTTTCACTGAGCTTTGCTTGAGCTGGTGGATGAGCGGTCACACCATGAAAAGCTGATGACGTGATGGGATAAACGGAAGACTCGGTGACCACAAAGAGAAGACAGGCGACAGCACTGTCAACGGTAGCGTGGACCCGCTGTACTGCCATGGATCCGGTAACCATTCTCCTAGAGCTGTCCTGGGGTCTTTCTGTGTGGATGCTTACACTGCTCGACGCTTTCCTCAAGAGGAATACTGCTTATCTATGGGATTTCTTGTGGTCCCCGGGGCATCTCATGGTAGCACTTCACTTGCTGCTCACAATCCATCAAGATGCATAGCACAGCAACCACTGCCCATAGTCTATGGATCCCTACAGAGGACAAAGATGACATCACACATTAGGTGTTTTCAAGCCAGCACCACTGAGGCATGGCACCCTTCTTCCTTCTGGATTTCTAGGTTAGAAAACACTGCGTATATGTGTGCATGTGAGCAAGCATCACACACACACACACACGCACGCACACACACACACAGAGACACACAAAATAAAAACTGTAGAAGAGTTCTTGTCTCATAAAAATGACCCACTATAAATGCTGAACATGGTGACACATTCCTATAATCCCAGATCGTAGGAGGCCAGGCAGGCAGATCATGAGCGTGAAGCCGGCCCGAGTTGCAAACTGATTTCTACATCAGCCTGAAAATGGCAAGCAGGAAAATGGATCTCAAAAATCCCAGACCAAACCAAATCGAAACAAACAAAAATTCAAATATATTTCCAGTATTCTTTTTGTACAGGGATCCTTTATGTGAGCAGACAAGTATAAAACACACTAGTTCAGATTGCAGAGAAAATGAATTAAAAAATTATGCCGCTTTACAAGAACAGATCCTGAAATGAACTCTTAAGGAACCAGATTCTCCAGCAATTTTAAAATAGGTTGATTCATGAGAATCTGATTCAGGTAAAAAAAAAAAAAACAAAACAAAAAAAACAAAAAAACCTTCATGCCTACATCAGTTATATAAATACATACTCATATACTATATAGAGGACAAAGAGTGCTAATAACATATAGTTCTCATTACATATTTTAAAGAGATTTCCCCTAATTTATTGCATTTGTCTCTGTCAAGCTATTAAGGCAAGCAGAGACAGTGTTATTTTTCCCGTACAGATGAGAAATCGAGGGGTTAAGTGACTCGCCCAAGGTCAGACAGGCACTCATTCATTCACTGCTCTGATTGATGGTGTTTTAACGGGGTAATAGAGGAAGTAAAGTTCTTCCTCCTATTTTTTTGAACAGCTGTGAAGGCTATTAAAACAGAAATAGATGATCTCACAAATATAATGCTGAATGAAAGAGTCCAGACACGAGTGTGGACATACTGTATGAGTCGATTAGTGTACAATTCAAGCGCAGACAAAGCTAACTCAAGATGACACAAGTCAGAACGGTAGGGTAGCTGTCTTTGGGATGGGGATTGGGGACAGGGGGCACAGAAACTTTCTCGCTATTGGTCTGGGTTGTACATTCTTTACATTCATTGGTGAATAATCACAGCGATGTACAACAGGTTTTTAACCCATTTGCATATTAAAGAAACACTCACTTAGAGCAAGAATTTACACTTTTGAAAGAGATCATCTATAAATTCACTTTAGAGGATCATTACGCCCACAAGTCCTTGGGACATTTGTGATTTCATTTACATTGCTTGGCTGCATCTAGAAAATGAGACATGAACTCATCTCAAGACTTTAAAGAGAGGGGAAAAGGTTTATAGAAAATAGGGCCAATATTTATCTGCATTTGAGGAAGTTTTTATATGAGTTGGGAAATAGAAGCACAGTGAGGTAACAATATAATTCATTTAGAGCTAGGCAAAACACTTACATTTAATGACTTAAACTAGAAATGGAAACAGCTTAGTGGGGCAGGCACTTAGCTTATGTAAGGTCCTGGGCTCAAACTCTGGCACTCCAAGAACATAAAAATAAAACTAGAAACTGAAGGAAAGTGAGATTATGTATTGTTCATATACTCTATCCTGGAGAATAGACAAACAGAGATAGCAAGAATATAGTTCTCCAAAACACCCCTTAAGTTAAGAATATGTTTATATATGTTTAGGGTGCTGCATCAGGTACCAGAGTGCAAAGGGGGAGCCAGAGAGAGATACGTCTGCACAGCCTTGGGGTGCACAAGGGCTCCCGAGAATGCCAAGTAGATTTTGATGTAGGGATGAATAAAAGGTTTGGCTGAGCCCCTAGGACAGAAATTATAGGTGCCTGAAACAATTTCAAAATGTATAGCCTACTCTTCCAAGAATTCTTCTTTCATTCTGAAACCGCACCATGCTACTAGTGATAAATGTTTTATAATTTCCTTTTAAAATCTAGACCAAATATATATCTTTATCTTACAGGCTGCGAATAGAACAATTTCTGTGTGGTGGTGCGGCTCCATGTCAGGTGCTTTCATTCTGCCACGAGTCAGCTCCACCGGCACAGTGGGTGGACTTTTCCCCAAGCACTGCCCTCTAAGGCTTCTCCTGCAGCAGGAAGCCTGTTCTCATGTTTGCTTTAGTTTTTGGCTAGCTGTTATGCTTCTGTACGTTTGCAAGATTGGACATGTAGGTTTGATAGGCTCACTCAGTCTACATCCCAGATGGGTGTGAGCCATGCTCTGGATCATGGCTCACTTCTAGAAGGATCACCCTATTTTTCCCCATAAGGTTAAAAAAAAATTATTCAGCTGGTTAGAATAGCAGCTAGAGAGGATTAGGGGAAGAGCGGGTTGAAGATGCACCCTGTAGGCCACAACAAGCTGACGTGACTTTCATATATACTGGCAAAGGATCAACAAATTGCAAGGAACCATGACTGTTGTGTCCACACACGTTCATACAGCAGCATTTCACCATGTGCTATGCTTTTGCTGAAAGGTAGAAATCCCAAATTTCTCCCTGGGTGGAGTCCTTCAGCAAACAAATGAACAAACAAACACAACCCCCCCCCCAAACCCAAACCCATATCTTTCTATGACTGCACAAGGGTTTTTTTGTGTAAGTCCCAGCTGTCTTCCTACCCCTCACCTTCCTGCCCTGGGGCTACAGGTTCAACACCAGCTGGGGCTCTGAACTCACGTCTTCATGCTCTTGCCCACTGAACTATCTAACTTCCCAGCCCAACAGGTTTCTTTTAGAACTAACTGGCACATATCTGAATTTAACCTCTGTTATACTAAGCGTATTATGTCAGCTCCTCTGACCTGCTATACCATTCTTTCTCCTCATCTTTGGAACTCTTCTCTGTCTCCCTCTTCCTCCACCCTCCCCCCAGTATTTTTTCCTAGGGATATCCAGTTGTGGTGGTTTGAATGAGGATGGCCCCCAGAGGCTCATGTATTTGAATGCTCAGAACTCTTTGCTAGGATTAGAAGGATTAGGAGGTGTGGCTCTGATGGAGGAAGTGTGTCACTGGGGATGGTCTTTGAAACCTCAGGGTAGGTCCAGTTTCCCTCCCACTTTCTCTCTCTCTCTCTGCTGCCTGTGAATCAGAATGTAGTTCTCAGCACCTTCTCCAGCACCATGTCTGACCGCACACTGCCATGCACCATGATGATCATGGACTAAGCCTCTGAAACTTTAAGCCAGCCCCAATTAAATGCTTTTCTTCATAAGAGTTGTTGTGGTCATGTTGAGTCTCCTCACAGCAACAGAACCCTTGTGATCCTTAGCATGTCATAAGCAGAGACTGCTCTCTTCTAACTTTCAAAAATTACTGTGCTTGTTACGGCTCATGCAAAAAGGTTGATTACTCACTTATGAACTTGACCATAGTTTTTTAATAACCCAGCTTTCTATTAATTTTATTAAAAAATAAACTGAGATACATACCATCAAGCCTTGTTCTCCTGGTTTCCCTGGTTCACCCTTTAAAAAATTAATAACGATAAGTCATTAGAAAATAGTTAAAAATTTTCAGCTATCTTCTTCTCCTCAATACTTTCTTGGTCCTGTGAATGTCAAGTACATATTTTTGAAAGATTAAATAGACTGTAAATGTGATAACAAAGAACTGATAGTCCTATGTCTGTATCTTATACACATTTTAGAGTTTAACAAGCTTAGTCTAGATCCTCCTGCGCTCTCACGCTGATACAAAGACAAAACCACTGCAGGTCAGGGAATCCCTCTTTCCATATTATTTAGTAGCAAAATGAGCAGAGGCTGATTTTTGAATTTTGCTCCTTTGCATTAATCAGACATGTTTATTAACACTGATAGAGAATGTTCTGCTGTTCTGTGTGGCTTTGTTTCACAATGAACAGGTTAATATGAACTTGCTATTGTGTTTTATTGTCTCACCATGTTGACTTCCTCTGGCTACTGGTTTATAGAGATCTGTGCCTGTATTTCCAATATGCATAGATGATGCTGGCCTTTCAAAAATCAATATTTTCCAGGTTACATTTTTACAAATATGTATTTATTTCTATTCTATGTACATAAGTGTGTGCCCACATTTAAGCATGTGCACCAAGTGCACAGTACCCACATAGACCAGAAGAGTATCCACATCAACCAGAAGAGCACACTGGACCCTCTGGAGCAGAAGTTAAAGGGAGGGGTGAACCATGTGCTGGGAACCAGTGCTCGACTGCTGAGCATCTCTCCAGCATCTGTCTCACTTCTACAGAGAATTTTTTTCTAGTGGTTAAGATAGTATATGCAAAATTCCTCTGAGCCATTATAAAAGACAAAACTATCTGTGGAATTCTTTAGTTTATTTGTGCTTTGTGTGTAGGCTCCCATCACCAGACGTTGGCATCTGCTGTCTTCTCAGTTGCAGTCAGCCTGCCTTTTGAGGTAGGGCTTCACTGGAGTTGAATTTCACTGATTTGGTTAGGCTGGCGGCCAGCAAGCACCAAGCATCCTCTTGCCTCTGCCTGCCCTATGATGGGGCCATAAACTTGATGTTGGGGTTTAGACTCTGGCCTTCAAGTTTTCATGGCACTTACCTACTGAGCCTTCTCCCAGCTCCCTTATCTTTATCTTCTAATAATAACATCTAGCATATATTTGCTTCTTCTATAATATATAATATTTAATGGTCTAGCCATTTTTCTACCAATAACATGTTGGACTATTGTTTCTTTGTTTTGGTTCTTTTTAGAACAGATATCCACACTGCTCTCTAGACAGGTAGAACTCACTGTGCAGCATGCTGGTTTTTAAAATGTATCTTTAAAAATATTTCTTTTATGTGTATGTGTTTGGCCTGCATGTATGTCTATACACTATGTGTGTTCAGTGGCCTCAGAAGTCAAGAGGCAGCATTGAATCCCTGTGGAAGTGGAGCTACAGACGGTTGTGAGCCTCCACGTAGATGCTCAGATGCCAATCCGGGTTCCGCAGAAGAGCAGCCAGCCCTCTGAACTACTGAGCCATCTCTCCAGCCTGCCCATGCTGGTCTTGAACTCAGAGCACTCTTCCTGGCTCTGCCTCGTGAGTTGCTGGCATCACAGGACTGGTGCCTCACACCACCATGCCGGCCAGCAAATGTTTTTAACTGACTATTGAAAGACAGCGACCGTGGTGACTGTCAGTGAGAGTTGTCCATCCCCCGAAGCCACGGAAGGCTCTCTCAGGAGCGCCAGTCTAAGAAAATGTCAGACATTAAACAGGCAGGGTTAGGAGGAATTGGCCACCTTCAAATGTTCAGGGAAAGCATCCCCAATGGGCAGTTGAATCTGTTCCTAATTTCAAATGAGCAGACACACAACCTTCAGAAAGGAACATGGGGCTTTGGAGAATATGCCAGCAAAAAGGGATAAAAGGCCCTGTATCTTCACACATGGATTAATTCTTAGAAAAGCGATACAAAAATATGTGCATAAAAAATGTCAAGACAACATACAATAACATTAACAACCATGGCTGATCTCTAATCCCCCCCCCCCCGGGTTTTATTTTCAAATATTTCTACTTTGTTAGAAAATATTTTCATCTTTACCTTTGAACTAGAACAACACTAATAAAAACAACTTGAACAACATATTAAATAAAAGTTAACTCAGCAGTAAATCATAATTTCTAGCCCTGGAACTACAATATCAACCCAGTCATATTTTTTTTCATCTTGTCCAAATATTTCTTGAAATTGTTGCATTGCATGGACCAAGTCATATCATTTATCGGTGTCCCATGTTTTTGTTATTGCTATAACTAATTCTAGTTTATTCTAGATCATTTAAAAACGGCTTCTGTTAGATAAGTCTCAGATGTAAATGTCAAGTGATAATATGGTCATATCCTCTGGCGCTTAAGTCATTAATTTGTTGTCCCTAAACACTCATAGCCAGGTTGTTTGCAGGGGATCAACATTAGAAAGCTCCACTTGCCTTCCATTAGCAATGTGGGGCTTTATTGTGTCCACTGTGGGCCTTTGAGAAAACAGGATCCATAGTTGGCTTCATTTTTCTCGCTAATAACCCACTTTACACAAAAAGGCAGTGGCATACTCAACGGCAGGCAAGATGCAGGCAAGATGGGGCGTTTCTCACTGTGAATGTCCCAAAGCTCACCTGAGATCCATCCAGGTACCGTCTTCAGGTCTCTGGCTCTTCTTGGGCCAAGATATGAAGTGAAATATTGCTGAAGGGCCCTTGCCTCTCATCCCACCTCCCTAGCCTTCTCTACTCACCTCAACTCTTGACCCTACTGTCCCTTGTCACCTGTTCCCCCCCCCTTTTAACCCCTTAACACAAAACAAAATATTGGAGCACAACAGTCCAGGAAGAAACTCACGGGTACTCCTGGCATCCCTCGGGGACCATCCTTTCCTGTGTCCCCAGGTGGGCCTCTTGGACCAGGAGGGCCTGGGGGTCCTGGAGGCCCTGCTTGTCCTTGGTCACCCTGGAAGGAAGGAAGGGAATGAACCAACAATAATCATGAGCAATTAACATTCAGGTTCCATTTCAGCATTTTAAATTCATCTTATCGAATCTACATTTACCCATAAGAAACCAGGCCACCATAAATATGAAGCCGACTGGCAAGCTACCTGTCAGCCAGGAGCAAGTATTTATTGTGGGAGAGCCAAACAGCTGCTATGAAAATCAAAGCAGCTCTCGTTCCCACAGCATGGCTCTCGGAGTACACGGTTGATTACTGTATTCAGAGCCGAACAAAGCCCTGTTTCAGGGCAATGCTCTATAGGATACACCTACCCTGATCAATGAGTGGTTGCATTTTTAGTTTGGAAATATATTTGTTCACAGAACCAAAGAGAAAGCATAATGGACTCCTGCTCCATTGCATAGTAGGTGTGTAATTTATCAGAGCCAGAGAGCTTGGGAAACATGTCTACTGCTGATTGCAATTGAAGCTATCTTGATTTAAAAAAAAAAAGAACCAAACCAGGTGGGCTTTCTATACTATAAGTCACCAAACACAACCTTATTCTGAGATATTTACAAAGACCCTCCCCCCTTCTCTGTGCGCCATGCATAAGAGATAAAGGCAAAGCGGCAGTGCCCAGGACAGTACTTGAACGCGGAGGAAAACGCAGACTCCAGCAGGAAGCAGCACTACCTTAATCAGCCGCCGTTTAATGAGCTGCTGATCAGCAGAGAGAAAGCCATGATTGATCTTAGGAAACACCATCTGATCAGCCAGGTGAGGTCAGAGGTTGAAGTTCAGAGGTGAGAGAGTTGAGGAATAAGCGTCAGAAGGCCCCGAGAAAGAAATAAAGATATACACGTTAGACTCATAATGACCATAAAAGGGAACTGGCACTCACGTCTGACAGACCCTCGGCCTCTCTGGAAGAAAGACAGCCCTGGAATGGAACGAGTCCTGACTTTTGATTAGAATCGAGTACGTTTAGCACCCCATCATTTGGGTGTTGGGGCGGGGCGTGTTTTAGTGCATCCACTCCCAGAAGCGAGTGAACCAGAATCATCTTGTATTCTGCACCCTAAGTAAAAAGTCTGCGGACAGAGCACCAGTTCCAATTCAGTCAGATTTGTCAACCAGCATAATGTGGCATGAACCAGGTATGGACACCCCAAGCTTAGAGTCCTTAGAATTACATGATTGGCTGGGACAGCATCATAGAGCGTTGGAATATGTGTGAATCCAGCCACGGATATGAGACCCCCTCCTGGGAAGCTATGCTTTTGATTGTCACTGTTCATGTTTAACTTCATTATCCGCCTCATGAATGCGCAGGAGGTTCTCTCTTAGACCAGGTCCGATCTCCCTGGTACACCTGAGGTCCCAGGTGCCCGGCTCCGTCAGTTGGCAATAGGAGAAGAAGCTGGGAAAGCCCATGGATGGTTCTTGCTCACCCTTACGCTGATTGCGCTTCTGACCGAGTAAGTGTGAATATCATTCACAAACCTTGACGGTGAGGATCTGATTGCTGTGTAGGGCAGCAACTGTGGGGAAGCCTGGCAGGCCCTATGGACGTGGCACAACACCAAAACAACACGACACAAAACGTCACACAGACATTTCACCGGTAGACAAACAAAACCAAGGCGCATGCATTAAACTTCCCTTCCCTGCTGAGGTTCTGAACACACTTCGACATATTAGATGCAAGAGGCTTCCAAGAAAAACTGCCATTCCGTAAAGCATGGAATGGCCAGGCTGCAGACTCACTGTGATGGGATATGCATTCTTGTGTACAGTTTGCAGCTCTTAATATTTCTGGAATCTTCTTTTTAAAGGGTTAGTGCAAACTGGAGCTAACTACAGATGTTGTTATGACAACATTCGACTCACTGGCATTCTGTTTACAAATCAGGACATACAATGCATAGAGCACACATACTAACTCTTTGATTAACAACAACAGTGAACAGTTTTATAGTCAGGTTGGAAGTATTCGTCGGAACAAACAGTTGGCCACATAAAATAAATGTTGCTACCCAACAAATCAAAATTCCTCTCTGTCCTCATGTGATGGATCTCGGGGCTCGGCCCTGGTTTCAGGAACCTTTGTGAGGTAGATGGAAATCTGTCTCTTATAATGTGCATTTCACGTCAGAGTGATTTACAGTCCCACTTCACAGTAATCGCTCTGTCACACAACTGTTCCAAAAGAATCTGACAGATCCTACAACCGCTGAAAACAGAAAAGTGGCCCGGGATTCCTTAGACAAGGAGAGTGGCGAGGGGAGCTGCAGGGGCCAAGACTGCAGCCAGTGGCATCAAGTTATCCTCACAGTGGTACCAACTGGGAAAATCTGAAAGAGAAATTTTGACTTTGCTCCATTTCTTTTAAAAAAAAAACACACTTGAAATTGGAGCCTTTTAGTCCCTTTTAAACTATAGAACATGGTTACTATATAAGTTAATGACAGCCCAACAATGGATGGCCTCAGTTTCCTCTGTCTGTTCTACCCTTTTGTTTGAGGATGTGTGTGTGTGAGTGTGTATGTGTATAATATATTAGTAGGATATTAATTATATTAGTGTATATATTGATAGATAATATAATTAATATAACACTAATATATAATATTTTATACACACACACACTAATAAATAGGGTTAAAAACATTGCAACTCTTTGGCATTTGCTAAATATGTACATCCATATAGCAAAGGTCAGAGATTGGGGATCTTTTCAAAGGTCAGAGATTGGGGATGTTTTCCTGTTTTGTTTTTTTTTTTGTTTTTGTTTTTTTTTTTTTTTAAAGAAAATCAGTCAAATGAGGTTTGCAGCATGAAGATGTGCTTCAGTCCTATTGATTCAGCCTTTGGTCCTCACTGCTGAGTGCTCTGAGTTCTCAGGAAGCTAAGCAAGGGAATCTCACCCCTTGTGCCAGCTCTGTTCTGATAAGGGATGAAGTGGCTGGGCAGGTTTGAGGCAACCTGTGTCCTCGTCTCCCTGTGTGAAGCATCAACTCTACGCAAACCCAGAAATGCCACGAGGGGGAAAACAGATGTGTACCATTTGCTTTTGTTTTTACTGTGGAATATGAGTTTAAAATGTTATTAGATGGTAATGTGCCAGGATCTGTCCATCTGTGACTCATTAGCCCTATATTACACAGTCAGAATTTTATATGTAAACCTCATATTTATGTAAGAGAGAACAAAACCAGATACAAACACGCAGTCTAGGAGGGATCAGAATCTTGATTAGTGGTGATAAATCACACTGTCACTTGAAGCCTGATTATCTAACACAATAATTTTAAATTAAAAACCTTTTAACAGCACACATGGTAGGCCTTTCAAACGTTCAGAAATTTCAGCATATAAATAAGTCACCTCTCGTATTCATATTTGAGCAGGACCAGATTGTCGTCTGAGCATATTTGCAGTATAGCCGCACAAAAGCCTTAAGCTGGGTCACTTCTTGGTTTGGGCTTCCAGGGAGGGCTCAGAGGGAAGTGGCCAGGTAGTTCTGAAACCAGCAATCTACATTGGAAGCCCTTAATTTTGCATTGCTAGCTAAAGTATCTCAGTCATGTTAACTGCTACCCGGTGGGCTTAGAGCTGAAATTTAAAAGACTTCCAAAATGACCTTGGAGATTATCTGTAGCAGATTAAAAGAAAAGCACACAGAAGGGCCCTCTTAAATTCTAGCACGAATCCTAAGACTCTGTGCTTCTCAAAATGGGGAGAAAGTGACCCTAAACGTATAAGTTAGTTTTAATTAATAGTAAGCGTATAAAAAGTTTTACATTAAGGCTTTATTGTAAAGAACTTTCAATTAAAAAATTATGCAATAAAATTCACCCAAGTTTTTTTTGATGTTAAACAAGTATTGTTATATTATTATTATTATTATATTGGAATAGAATGCATAAGTTTTAAGACGTGTTACCATTTGGTGGTGATACTGCATCCCATTGTAGAGGGCTTCATCTACTTTACAGGCAGACTGTGCTTCTTATAGGATGGGAACAAAGTGTTGGTGCTGAGCACCCAACTTCAGGACCTGTCTTTCTGTGCTATCGAGTTCTGGCTCCCCTAGCTGTTTATGCAGATGTGTACTCTTAGGCAGGTCATTTCCCATCACAGCCCCTTCAATAGCGAAGCACAGAGATCTCCCTCTGCTTTACCTCTCATACAACTTGCCTAGTACACAGATGGTTCAAGTGGGTGTGGGGGAAAAAAGGTGTCTCAGAAAAACACGGTGAAAGAATCCAGAAATAAACTGAAATGTTGGTATAATTTGAACATATTTTCACCCCTAAATATTTTGAATTCTTAAGGAACGAGATGCACACATGTGTAATACAGGCTACCTCATACATCCCACACTCGCACCTGAGCATGCGGACCCTCAAGGCATCCATTATTGCATCTTCCTGATGTGTAGTAGGTACCTTCCCCGTCACTGCTCAGCCAGCATCACACAAGGACTGCCAAACCCACTGCCACCCTCTAGATACACACACCCTTGTGCACATTTGCACTTACACAAATAGGTAAGTCATGAGAAAGGCTTCTGATTACTTAGTAGCCATGAGGCCAAGATGCCATTATCATTTTGATTGTATATTCAGTAATGACAAGTATGACATCATTATGTTTTAGTGAGAAATTTTGTTTGGTCAAATATAGCCAATAAAGCACTGATAGAGAAAAACTTCATCCTAGATGTCTACTTTCAGATTTTTAAATGTCCAAGTTTGTGTTGAGGATCATGTCTTTCTATTTGTTTTATTGTTTAATACCGGAGAGCTTACAAACTGACAGCAGCACCTAAGTAGCCCTTGTTGATTGCATTCTGGGCAGCACTCAGTGTGCTGCATCATGGAGATTTAATGGCAAAGAGGGTCCCAAGCTCACAGCATTTAACACCTAAGAAAGCCAAGGAAAATAGGTAGGCGGGAACCAGATGGGTTGATAACTACTATGGTGGTAGACTAGGAAGACCCAAGCCAGGCACTGCGGCAAACATTTGTCCTTCCAGCACATGGGATTCTGAGGCAGGAGGATCCCAAGCTGAAGTTTAAGGCTAGCCAGGTTGGGCTATTTGGCAAGACCTCACCTCAAATATAAGTAAGCAAGGAAGAAAGTATTGAAAACAAGTAGATGGGCAATAAAGAGGAGTAAGATGACTACCCAGGTGACGCTGGTCTAAGAGTAGAACTGAAAACAGACCTTGGGAAGACTTAGAAAAACCTAGTTCAGCTGCATAACTGTCCTAGGACCAGGGGAGGGACCAACCAGTAGTTTCTGGTGCTGCTGCAGAAGAAGGGTTCTCAAAATTTACTACTTTCTTAAAGACAAGAGTGAGAATGGGTCTAGAGGGTGCTCATACGTCTTAGCTGGAATAACAGAAAGGAGGAGGAGGTGACCCAGGGGACAAGGGGGGGGGGCTGAGGCAGATGTTGTCACAGGTGTTGAGCTGACATGGATTTGCTAGACTAGAACTGAGTAGTGGGATGGTAATTGGATATATTCGTGAAAGAAGAGAGAGGCTTGTGTCCATGTTAGACATGAGAGCAGAGGTGGGACTATTTGGGTAGAAAAGCAGATCAGCTGGGGGGCCAGGAGGGCAAGAGAGGGCAATAGCTGGTGAGTATGCAAAACCCAGTGATAATGCATATGTGAAAATGTTGGGGTGAAATCAATTAAATTTAGGTTGATTAAAACACAAATAAGTAAATGAATAAATAAGATAGAGCTAAGAT